CTGACAGAATGATGTTTTGTTTTTGGTTTTCTTCACTCTCTCCCTCTCTCTCTCTCTTCCCTCTCTCTCTCTCTCTCTCTCTCCGTGAGCGTAACAACTTGCTAACGCCTGTAGCTGTCGTCGCTGCCTGTAACTGATCAGCTGATGGCGGCGCCGCCCGCCAAAATAAAAGCTGAGGTGGAGAGGACGGCTCGTAAAAAAACACGGTCGTAATCACCGCGGTGACAAACAGAGGGGCAACCAAGGGTGGAGTCCAGGCCCCCGCCCCCCAGATTGACTGACTGACACGGGGGTCCGTGAGTGGCCCACAGTGCTGTCGTCTCCTCAAATATTTTGAAAGAATTGTTTTCGACACATTTTCTTTGTAGCGGCATCTGATTGTCAACCACAGGAAAGACAGCGATGCCTTCACTGTCCCAGGAAAAAAAAAGTATAGATCATGTGCCAGGTTTATATTTTTTTTTTGTGAAAATCTTAATTGGAAATAGCAACACTCTCTACTATTTGCTCTACGCTGCCACCATGTGTGGACGAAGGGACGCGCGGGGCCTCGGCCTTTGATTCTTTCACGGACTCGACTCCTTTCCGACAGCGAACACTTGTCGTCTGTCATTTGAACGGCCAATATGTGTGAAGAGAGTTTCCCTCTCAGCCCGTCGATTTGTCAGACATCCACTTCCTGTTTCCTGTTTACATTGACTTCTCGTCATTGTTCGGCGTTCAGATAGCGAGGAGTCGGACTCGCCTTCTGCCACGGGAGTTTCTTCAAACAGTTGGAAAAGAAGCAAATGAAATACAGCCGTTCTGCTGTTATTACCACGGCAGCGGTGATACGGTAATCTACGACTTCCTGTGGAGGAAACGCTGGTTTTCACTTCGCCTCGTTCTGTCGCGATCAACGACACTTCATCAGTCAGACGACGCGGACGAATCCAGAAGGATCGGTGATATTAGACACGGGAGCAGGAGTTTGTCCTGAGGAAACGACTCCTGCGTGTATTATGATCAGATTAAAACACAGTGGCATTAAAACAACAGGAGGAAGGAGGCGAGGAGGAGGAGGAGAGGGAGAGGGAGGAGGAGGAGG